CGGCGGCTCCCGGGCCCGGGGTGCGGCAGCGGCGGCGGCAGCAGCAGCAGCGCATACAGCCAGCGGGGCGCGCGCGGGGGCTCCGACCGGGTCGGGTGCAGCAGGTGGGTGATGAAGATGGTCTCCAGCAGGCCGGCCACCATCAGGGACAGACACAGCGCGAAGTAGACGCCTGCGGGGAGAGCAGGGTCAGGTCTGCATTTCCCTCAGCATCCTTCTGCAATGCGATCTTCCTCAAAAGCCCTTCCCGCCCTCAGGGGCGCTGGGTGGGTCCTCCCGACCCCTCTTTGCCGCCTGCTGCCTTTGCTTCCCTGGAGAGTGGAAGGGGCGGGCCCTACTGATGAGAGCGCTGCCGCCGAAGGGGAGCAGGTCGTTCATCAGGAGCAGGAAGACGTTGTAGCCCAGCAGCAGGGCCATTTTGAAGGGGGCGCGGTGCACATTTTCTGCAGGCAAGTAGAAGCTGAGGGCGTCGATGGCCACCAGGAAGCCGCTGGGCACGAGGAGGTGCAGCACATAGAGCCGGGGCCTGCGTCTGATGGCCACCTGGTGGGAGGAGAGAGAGAGCAGTAAATATGGTGAGTGTGCCGCCCAATCCTAACCACTAGACCACCAGGGAAGTTGAGAGCAATAAATATGGGATGTGGAGGAAACCTCAAAGCCAGCAGTAACGGTTCACAGCCAGACCTGCAGTGACTGTTTCTGTCTTTTTCCCGGGTCTGCGGTCCCCTGGCAACCAGAAGAGAGTTCTGGCCCTGGCTGGAGGCATAAGACTGCAAGACACTCTGAAAGCTGGGGGCTGGGTGGCCATTCTAGGCAAGAGTAGAAGCAAAGGAGAGAGCAAACAGCAAAGACCTCGGAGCTCACGTGGAACGCGATCTGGTCGTGCAGGTTGGTGGCCAGGGACATGTTTGGAGTGGCCTTGGTGATGCTCAAGAGCTGCCATTCCCCGCGGACCTGAACCACATTCCGTGATGCGGCTGCTATTTCCCACACTTCCTTCTCCATGCCCAGTACCAGGCTGTCCGCTGAAAGGGAGAACCAACCATGCTGACTGTTTTCCAAGGATGCAACCTAGAACATGGAGGCGGGGGGTCCTACTGCCCTCTGTTTGCACTCTGCCATCCAGCAGACATTTTGAGGCTATCCATCGTATCTCAGGAATTTTCTGGGAGTCAGGGATGACAATGAACAGATTGGGCCTTTTATGGAAACTATCTAGGCGTCCACAGAGCTCGACTCTGCGCCACCTGTGCTCCTTGGCTTTTCCACTCAGGGGTTCTTTATATTTTGTTTTCTATTGCTTTGTTCATTGCTTTTGGTAGCAGTCTTCCCCTGCTTGGCGGGGGCCGGAACCCCAGGCTGGCCCCTTACCTGTGTAGAGCTGTGATCGGAAGGTGAGTGTGCAGTTCTGTTTGTCAAAGGGGAAGTAGAAGATGTCCAGGTTGCAGAGACTGGCCACCTTCATGGGTTTCTTATACCGGATGCGACCTTCATTACTTATGAATGCTGTGAGCCCTCTGGGGGTTTTCTGCACCTCTGCTCTACAGGGGAAAGGAAGTGGGAAGCAGGTGTTGCAATTCTACTCATTATTTTGATTTGTTCTTTGCTATCTAAGAAGCATCTACAGCTGTACCACCCACACATGTTTGATTTTGTCTTCACCATCGACCTCTTCTGGCGGCCCCAATGGTCGATGGTGAACTCTACTGCTATTAGGAGATGGAGCTTCCCGCTGGCTTTCCACAGCCCTACTACGCACAATTCAATGACGGAAACGTCTGGGAGCCACAGGTTCCTGGCCGCCACACTCATTTTGCGGATGCCCTCACACTCTTCCGGGCGCCAGCGCAGCAGGGGGTTATCCCAGACCTAAATAGAGCCCAGGAGGAAGACAGGTGGGAGCTGGAGATGCATCCGGGTTATTTTCTCCTGCCCTTTGAATTTGTACTTCTTTATAAACTGTGATGTCTTGGCTCAGCCTGTGGGTGTGGGGGCTCAGCAGAAGGCACTTGCATGACATGCGCAAGGCCATGGGGCCAGCCTTTGGCACCACAAAGCAAAGCAAACACAAAATCTGGTCCCTTGGCTTTTGTACTTCAGCAGGCAATTGCTGATGATCAGGAATGACCTGTCCTTTTGGTAATAGGAATGAGAATTGGAGTTGAACAATCTGTAATTCAGCCTCTTTCAGCTAGAATTTCCTTCCTGTGAAATAAGAGTAGTAGTGGATATCAGATGGAATGGGGTACACACAAGGAAACTGCAAACTGTGATGTTCAGAGGCCTAGCAACGTCTTCGGTGTCTCCCAGGGACCTTTCACTGGCCTTCACAGCAAGGAGGCTTTGAACCAGCCCTTAGATTCTTGGATGCCAAAAGCCCTAGTTCTCCTTTCCATGGCTGGTGACCCTCTCTGAAAAATGTTTTCAAGGATTGTCTGACTCAGGGTGGGATTGTCTGGTCTCAGGGCTCTTTTCAGTGTTAGCTGTGGCACTTTGTGGAGCCACGGACAGAAAGGGGCTCTGTGCATATTAAACAAAAATTTGTATGAAGTTAGTGCTTTTCAAACATCTCTGTGCATGTAAAACACTTGACGGGGCTGCGGAGATAGCTCAGTGGTCTAAGTACCTGCCTAGGCAAGCGCAAGGACCTGGGTTCAATCCCTGATGCCATATGCCACGCAGGCCCCATGCTGAGCTGGCCACCAAAACCAAGTGTGGTGGCACACGTCAGTAATCCGAGTTCTGGGGAGGCTGAAACAGGAGGATCACTGAGTCCAAGCTACGTATCAGACCCTGTACCAAATACATAAAAAAACCAAAAAGCAAGCAAACAAAAACCCTGGCGATCATGATGAACCAGGATTCCAGTTCAGTAGGTAGGATGACTAACCCTGGCTTGCTAGGCACTTGTTTGGCGTAACATTGTTCGTGCATGCCCTGTGAACTCTACAGCTTGGGGAAGGTTGGGACAGCTGGTCACCCTTGGTGGAGCCTGTGATCCAGTACATTTCTTGAGGCTTGGACCTAAGGTTTATTTTTATTTATTTATTTATTTATTTTGAAACAGGGTCTTGCTCTGTAGTTCAGGCTGGCCTTGAACTCACTGTGTGGCCCCGGCTGGTCTCCACCTTATGGCAATCCTCCTGCCTCAGCCTCCAGAGTGCTAGGATTACGGGCGTGCGCCATCATGCCTTGCTGTCCAGTGTATTTCTAATAAGCTTCCAGGTGATGCAGTGAGCCAGTGCTGTGGGTCTGGAAACCCGGAAGGTAAGGTTCAGATTGTTACTGTCTCTCCCCGGCTCCTTCCTTTCCTTGAATCAGGCTTTTCAAGTTGGAAATTTAATTCAGTTATCTCCATTTTCCACCCTCCCACTTTGTTTTCTAATCCATTCAATTAAGATGTAAAGTTTCAGGGCCAGTGAGATAGCTCAGCGGGCTAAGTGCCTGCTTAGGCAAGCGCAGGGACAAGGGTTCGATCCCTAGTACTGCATGCTGCACTGGCTCCACCCCCGGGCATACTAAGCCAGCAACTGAGCCCAGGCATGGTGGTGCCTGCTTCTAATCCCAGCACTAGGGAGGCTGAAAACAGGAGGATCACTATGTGCCTGAGCAAATACTTTAAAAAAAAAAAAAGATGTGAAATTTCAAGTTTGAAAGGATGGTAGAGGGAGTGGTGGAGGAACAAGATATCATGTACAGGTACAAATTCTCTGTGATGAATGTGATTGTTAAATATATCTAAAATGTACCAATAAAATCTAATTAAAATGTGTAAAATTTCAAAAAAATATGCAAAATTTCCTTTCATATGTAGCATTCTTCATGTCTAAATAGTAACTTTTATTGAGTTGTCTTGTTTTCTCTGTGGCTCAAACCATATGGAGGTTTAGTTCTAAATTCCCAAGAAACAAGGTGTTCTTAGTGGGGAGGTGATCCTTTTGTACTTTTTATAGTCTTATAGTTAGAGAACATGATCTAGATAATTTTTTTTTTTCTGTAGCACCAGGGATGGAACTTGGGACCTTGCATTTGCCAAGCAGGCGCTTAAGCCACTGCGCTATCTCCCTGGCCCAGATAATTTTTTTTCAACTTTTTTCTTGGTTTCCTGTAGCTTTTGTTTTGTTTTGCTTTGTGAGGTGAGGGTATCACTATGTAGCCCCAGGTGGCCTCACACTCATGATCCTCCTGCCTCAGCCTCCCAAGGAGCTGGGATCACAGGCTTGTAGCACTGCGCTCAGATCTATTTGATTTTTTTATTTTTTAATTTTTGGTACCAGAAATCAAACTCAGGACTTTATACTTGCCAGGTAGGTGCTGTGCTGCTGAGCTATATCCTTGGCCCTTATTTTTTGTCTAATTTTTTAATATTTATTTATTTTTGTATTTTAGGGAAGGGTCTATAGGGTGTTCAGGGTCTCACTACTAGATCCTACTTGTAGTGATCTGCCTGTTTACAGCCTCCCAAGAGCTGGGATTACAGGCGAACGCCACCATGCCCAGTCTCAATTGCTGTCTCAGTTCGCCCCGGGGGTGGAGCTGGCACATAATTTTTTTATTTTAAAAAGAAACAAGCTGCACTGATGAAGGTTCTACAATCTGAGGTACAGGATCTCAGGACAAATCCTGAGGGCATTTCACTGACCTTCTAAGACCAAAAAGCTACAACTCTTCTTGCATAGGTCCTGCTTTGCCTTGGTCTTAACCATCCAGTAGAAAAATATGAATTCGAAATATAAAAAATAAAGCCATGCTGTTAAGTTGAGCTGTGGGGGACTCAGGTCAATAATTTCTGACATTGCCAGTTAAATATAAGACCCAATGCTATTATAGGCTACTGGACTCTTTTAGAATATTTTGCTGAGTTTACACACCTATACTATTCAATAATGTAACTTAGAAATAATGGGGTATACCGATGAATGTCCATTTTGTATCTGTGTATTCAAAGAGGTTGGGATAGATATATAGTTGCATTCTCTTAATGAATAGAATGATTTGTTCTAATGGTGTTTGTGAATAGGATCACAAGTCCGCATCTTGTACAGCAATTAACCACTAAGAAGAATATATGCAGTGTATTATTTGTTGAAACTGTCCTTCCGATTTGATTTGAAACTGTCTCATTGCTATCTCTTTGTCAATAAAACTTTGAGAAAAAAAAAAAGAAACAAAATGTTCAAAACAAGGTGATGGGGGATAACAATGGTTAACACACTGCTTACTGTTATCTGTAAAATAGTTACTCAGGGTACAAGATGGCATTTAATTGTCCAAACAATGTTAGCACAAACCTTTCTTTTCAATGAACTGAGAGAAATTAATAATATAACTCTCTTAAGTACTTATTTCTATTTGGTTTTTCAAAGCAATGTATGGTAGCTTCTCAGCATCATGATGGATTTGTTTAGTTTCTCCTGTGTTCCGAAACTATACTATCAGGTACATAAAAGGTCATAATTACTATATCCTTGTTTAAAATCTTTCCCAAGCCTATGAAGAGAGAGTAAAGGCTCACCATACCATTTCTAGCCACAGGAATGAGGTCATGAGCTGCAGCTGTTCATCCTGCCAAGAGAATTTCCTGTTTCCAGCAGGCTGCCTGTCGGACGCCTCCTGCCCACTCCCCCACCCTACCCTAGTCCCGATTTTTATTACTCCCTGGAATATAAGTGTCATGAGGTAATCAAGGCCAGTATTATAGGTCAGGGACAAAAGCCCGGCCAAAATAGAGCTCCTAGGCAGGCTGTAGGCAGGAGAAGACCCTGCAGACTAGAGTAAGGGGGTGCTTCTCAAGCCTGGACCATCTTGGAATAATGTGAGAAGCCAAGAAATATGAGTAAGTGGAGGCCGGCCAGTAAGGACGTGGGGAGTGTGGCAGGTCCTTGGCACCGGCAGTAGCCACTGAGCAGGAAGAACAAGTCTTCCATACGCTGTTGTGTCTCACCCTGATGAAGGGCAAAGAGTTTTGTTGTTTTGTGATTCTCTACTCAGGGGAAAAGGCGCATACCAGTGCGGTGAGGGAACTGAGGTCTGGCCTGCCAGAGGCCGGGAAAACACTCGGCACACCACGGGGTCACCACTCACCACATCCATGATGGCAATTATGGTGAAGGAGATGTTGACCCGGACGGGGACAGCAAAGCTGATGACTGGAGGGAAGGGCTTTCTGCCAAAGCCAGAATCCAGACCCACCGGCTCGCCAAACCCTGGGCAGTTGATGGCGAAAGAATGGTCTTGTGCTGTAGCGGATAGCAAGTGTGTGGGGTTATTAAGCTTGGCTAAGTTAGGTGACAGTATCAAGTCAGAAAGGGACTCAAGGAAGTCAACACAAGAAACAGACTTCAAAGTCATGGCTGGAGTTGCATCTGAAGAAGGGCTGGCCTTAAGATGGAGAAGCAGCCTGGGGAGATAGCTCAGTGGAATAAGTGCTTGCCTGGCAAGTGCAAAGTCCTGAGTTCAATCCCTGGTAACACACACACACACACACACACACACACACACACACACAAAGATGGAGAAGCGATGGCTAGGCCTTTGTGCCCCTTGAAGGGATAAACAAGAACTTGAGATTATTCTGTAATCAGCACCACTGGCCAGGAGGTCCAGCTAGATCTCTGTCACCAGGTGGGTGACCAGAGCACCTGGGCCCATGCATTCTCCCAAGTGCCTTTGTTCTTTCTGTGTACCCTCACGATGTGACTCTTTTCCCTACTGGATCAATGTTGGCTAAGTGGCTGTCCTTGTAATCTTACTGGTCGGTGGTAGTTTGACCCATGCTTTACATGGTGTGACTTTGCGGTATGTATTATTCCTGATGAAGGGCCTTGGTGGCCACACCACTGGACAGCTTTCCCAGAAATCCAGGAGCTATTCTCCTTATTTCCAATAAAGCTCTCCTAATTTGTTCCTTTGGCTTGCGGCTTCCTTCCTCTATATCATAGGACCACAAACTCGGCACATTTGACACCTAGAGGTAGGGAGTGATATGTTTCCTATGTCAAGACGAGGGAGAGAATCTCTGGGCTCTGTGTACGGCAGGGCCCATGCTAATGTTGAGAGCTAGCAGGCACTGACTCTGGTCGGGTGTGTTCTGAGTGCTTTAAATGGATCGCCTCCTTTAATCCGCCCAACCAACTTTATAACGTATTTTATTTCCACTTTTATATGTCACTGCTACATTTACCAGTGATTGCTTTTTAAACACACACACACACACACACACACACACACACACACACACATATTTGGCTGACTCTTACAGGATATAGTGTAATTTTTCAGTACATGTAACTCAGGTCCTTGCGCTTGCCAGGGAAGCGCTTATTCTACTGAGCCATCTCCCCTCTCCATAGATACCTACTTGGCAAGCATAAGGTTCCGAGTTCAATCCCTGGTACTGCCAAAAAACAAAACGAAACAATCCCTACAAGGTAATGGCATATCCATCACTCCAGACATTTATTACTATTTCTTCATGATGTTGAAAACATTCAAAATCCTTTCTACTGGCTATCAAGAAATACACAGTTATTATCTCACTGTGGTATAGAACATTAGAAGTCATTCCTGGGTCCAGTCGCACCCCTCACCCTAGGCACCATCCTCTCCGCCCCTCCCTATCTCCTCTCAGGCATTGCTAACCCGTGTTCTGTTACCCTCCTTATAAAGGGGTAAGTACTATTTTTATTCTCAAGTAATAAATGAGTTCATACCAAGGTGCCAGAGGAAGGAACTTCCCAAGGCCAGCGAGATAATAAGAGGCAGAGCAGACCTGGGCTGAGTCAGGTTTGTGTGCGGCTGTGCAATTTGGCCCTGGGGGAGCTAGGTCAGGGAGGGGCTTGCTGCTGAGGTCCCAAGGTCTGGAGCTCGGCACTTCCTGCCAGGGCCAAGGAGGATGGGCTGGGCTGGAAGGCAAATAATGCAGGCTCCTGTGGTGAGCAGAGTTAGGTCACCAGCCTATTTCTAATACTTTGTCTCTGTGCTTTGCATGCCCAGATTTGTATGCATACGGAACCGCTGGGACAGTGACAGGCATCTCAGGAATCACAGGCCAAGGACCCCAGAGAGAGCGTGTCTGTTTGCATCTGGACTGACCCCTCGCTTCCACCTTTCCTGTGCTGCTGCTGAGTCCTCTCACAGCTTTCTCATGGCTTTTGATGTACTGCCTGCCTGCTGTTCTGATGGATACAGGTTCCAAGCTTCTACCTTGGGGATGAGTGGAGGAGCCACAGCCTGGAGTGCGCAAGACAGCTGGTGACCTCTGCGCCAAGGACTTCAGGGCTTCCTGGCTTCCAGAGTCACTGGCCTCCCCACACCAGTCCCCACACCTGAGTACTTGTCAGTCTGCCCAAGCACTCAGCGAGGTTTTCATGTGCTTAGTTCCTAAACTGTGTGCTGACCTTCGAGGTACCTCTAGCTCAGACTTCCTCTGTTCTCCCTTATCAAGAAGTCATGGGAGGGCTGGAGAGATGGTTCAGTGGTCTAAAGCACCTACTTGAAACAAGCTTGGCAAAGCACAGGGACCGCGGTTCAATCCCCCAGCACCACATGCCAGCCAGCCCCGCCCCCTGGTGGGCTGAGCTGGCCACACACACACACAATAAATAAATGTAATAAATAAAAATAAATAAATATTAAAAAAAAAAAAGAAGAAGTCATGGATCACGTAAGGGGGTGGCCCTTGTAGTGCAATAAGATTTACACTGGTGGGGAGAAAGGTGGATGGACCCAGAGGTCAAGTGGGAGAGAAGACCACCGTGGATGGTACAGGGAAGAAGAGAGCAGTGCTCCTGCATGGCCTCTAACCAAAGGCATTGCCCGTGTTCCGGGTGCACAATCACAGTCATATCCCTGTGAAGCAGCTCTGTCCACCTCAGGCCGTCTCTACAAACTGGGAACTTGAAAGAAGTTTCTAGGTAACCTTCCAGAGGGAATTCTTCCTTTGTCCTTGCCCCCTTCTTACCTTGAAGCAGGAGATGGAGAACAAGGTAGAAGAGGACTCTCTCCCCGGGGAAGCGGCTCCCTCCCATCTTCTTGGTCTACATTCACTTCTGAGGCTGTGCCAGGACTCAGATCAGGGAACCCGGGCCACACCTGGAGCCCAACTTTGAATACTGAGAGGCTGGCTGACCGCTGACAGTTGCAGCCTGTCTGAGAGGACTGTTCACACCTCTGCTTGGGGGTCACCTTGCTTTTCAGACTTTCTCTTAGCCTTAGCTGCTCCACTGTGGTGGGTTCGGTTCTCAGTGCTCTGCAGTGACCATTTCTAAACTTTGGTGTGATCCCTGTCCGACCATTGATTTCTCCAGTTAGAGAACATTTTTAGCCATGAAAGACTATTGTATTTTTTCGTTGTCCTATTCTTTCTCTTATTAGATATTGGAATAACTTCCTTCTGTTTCACAAGCCTTTTAATCTCTTGTTATTAATTGCTGATTGCAGCTGTAATAAGTTACAAACTTAATGGCTTAAAAAGATATGATTTATTATTGTTATTATTATTATTTTGGTGGTACCAGGGATTGAACTCAGGACCTTAAGCTTGCCAGGCAAGCACTCATTCCACTGAGCTATCTCCCGGCCTCCGAAGAGATATGATTTATTATTTGCCAGTTCCATAAGCCAGTAGTCTGAAATGAGCCCCAAGGTTAAAAGCAATGCTGTCAGAACTGCATTTCTTTTGATGGCTCTGGGGAGAATCCCTTCCTGCTTCCTGGAAACTGAAAGTTTTAGTTACTAGAAGGATTCTTTTTTTTTCTTTTCTTTTCTTTTCTTTTTTTTTTGCTGGCTCAGGCTGCCTTAAGGGCAGTTCTGGTGTGGCATGTGGAGCTAGGGATCGGACCGCGGTCCCCTGTGCCTGACTGAGTTTGGCCAAGCAAATGTTTTAAACAACTGAGCTAACTCACAAGCCCCCAAAGTTTTAGTTTTTAACTCCAAATTATAAAAAATTTTTTTTTTAAAATGTATTTTAGTACAGGGACTATAGGGTCCCACTACACAGATTGGACTTGTAGTGATTCTCCTGTTTTCAGCCTCCCAAGCACTGGGATTACAGGTGTGTGCCACCATGCCCAGTCTCAGTCCCCTTCTCACCCTGGGGGCAAGACTGGCAAGGCACTCCAGGGATCAAACCCCGGTCTCTGCTAAATCCAAATTCTGCAAATGGCAAGATGGGTCTAATTCTAAGCAGTAGAAAACAAAAAATAAAGTAATTCTGTCTTTGCATCATGCCTTTCATGTATTTCAGGACAGTTATATAAAATGGATTAATATTTAAAACTATGAAAGCTGTGGAAGTTTTAGGCCTCACGTGTGTATACCCTGTCCCCCACACACCAGTTTTCCCTGTAACGCTTCTGTTCAAGATCTGCAGGAGGAAAATGCTGCCCCTAGAAGGATATGGCTCATGGATAATTTCTGATGTACAGTAACTAAATCCTGCCCTGTCTGGCTAGACAGAATTTGGGACAAAGGAGAGACGAGAAGTGGGTGATTACACATATGTATAACACACACTTTTGACTCTGTGCTCAAGTCTGAGTGAGTGTTTGTGTGTGTTGGTAGGGGTTTATTATGTCAGGAGAAAAAGCCAGGCCTGGTGGCATATACCCACAATCGTGGCATTTGGGAGGCTGAGACAGGAAGATCACTGTGAGTTTCAGACCAGCCTGGTCATGAGGTGGATTGCCTATTGGTGGTGAGCTTGTTACACCCAGCTGAATTTTACTAGAATGGTGCTGGGCGTGGGAGGCCCACCTGAGGGTTATTGCCAACAAAGGAAAGAGGCGAACTGGAGAAGAAGAAGAGGTGTTGTTAGAGAGCTGCTGATTCTCCTGCAGGAGCTCATCATGTAGCCGAGTCCTGTTATGGACTCAACTGTTCTCGTCTTCGGAGGAATTGGGACCTCACTGTTGCTGAGGATGACTGTGGTACTCTTTGGGGAGCTCTGGTCCTTACTTTTGAGTGTTACTTCCTGACTCCAGTTCAGATCCCTCAGCCTGCTAGCACAGATCCTTCCTCCCGCTGGTGCAGGATTTCTAGCTTCCACCACTGACCTCTGGGCCTTCCTAGTGCAGATCTGTGAAACAGACTTGCAGAAGGCATTGTATGGACTCCAGGCCTTCAGCTGGACTCATGCAGGACATAGCTGTGGGCTCCAGGCCTCAGCTGGCGTGGTCTTCAGTGTGTGGACAGATTTTATGTACTCTCTTTGTATGACTCTCTGGGTGGCTAATATAAAATAATCCTATCAATTATGTGTCCTGTATTGTTTTCCTTGCAAACCCTGACTATAACAGCTAACATAGTGAGATCAAGGGAGCTTAGGCGGAACTGGCTGGGCCGTGCTGGCACCTCCCTCTGTCCCTAGAGGTGGGAAGGTGCTGTCATGCTTCCTGCCTGGAAGGGGCAAGAAGGCTGCACTGAGGCCCACATACCTGCAGTGAGGCCGTGCAGGGGACAGTCACGGCTGGCGGAAGACCCTGCCAGAGGCTGCAGTGGTGCTTGCTAAGGTGGAACCGGCCCAGGGAGGGAAATCAAAGCCCAGAGTCAGAATGAGACCCTGCCAAGGCCGACTTTAAGCCATAGGTGCCAGCAGGATGCCCAGGTCCAGGAGACAAGGGACACCGTGGGACAAGAGAACTGGGAGAGCTCACAGGACCCGCACGTGCCAACCAGAGGGCTCTGCTAGACGACAACAGGCCCCACACACACTTAACCACCACTTTGAGAATCTAAGGAAAGCGGACCGTTTTCTCAAATGTGTGACAGTTGCAGTAGTTTGTATGCCAAAATCTGACCCTGATGTACCGATTACCGCTTTGAGAACCCAAGGGAGGCAAAGAGGTACTTCACCAGCTACTGAGAACAGTGCGCGTCAGCCCGGAATTTTGTATAAAACTTGAACAGTTTCACAGGCTGTGTGTGGACTGTGGCTTAAGAACCCCTTCTCAGAATCAGTTATGAAACCATATTTAAGCCAGGTATGGTGGTGCAAGACTGTTATCCCAGCACTTGGGAGGCCGAGGCAGGGGATCAGTTCAAGTTCAAGCCTAACCTACCTAACGAATTCAAGGCCAGCCTGAACTACATTAGTGACACCCTGTTCCCCCTCCCCCCAAAAAAAACACAAGACAAAGTATTTAAAAAGCATATTCATTTATTAGATGCATTTATTGGGCTCAGAGAACTAGCAATCACTATGCTGTGATGTTTGTAAGTGATCTATTTAGGACTGTGTTTAAGAGGCCCATCAAGATTGAAGTCAAACTTTATCAGTTTTTTTTTTTTTTAATTTTTTTGTAGACAGCGTCTCGCTGGGTAGTCCAGGCTGTCCTCCAACTTGCAGTGATCCTCCTGCGTCAGCCTCCCGAGTGCTGGCTGGGATTGCAGGTGTGTGCCATCAAGCTCCGCAACTCTCAGTTTTTGAAATCAATCTTTTGCTCAATTTTAGGAATCAAGAAAATGTTCCATGCATTTCTCAAATATCTCTTCTTTTCTCTGTGATATTGGGAACATTAGTAAATATAGTTCTGAGATTATACATGCAAGGTTTTAACCGTTGAGAGAACTCATTCAGACTTGGAGATGAGAATCTTAAATTAGCTCTGCCTCCTTTTCCTCTCTGCTTTTATTTGTTGGTATCAAATTCTCTTGGATATATATATATATTTCATATCCATCTCTTAACCACATAATTATTCTACTTAGTGGAAAAGGGAAAAATCTTTTCCTTAGGTGGGTGTGCTGGTGCATGCCTATAATCCCAGTACTTAAGGGGGATTGTACTAAATTCAAAACCAGCCTGGGCTACGAAGTGAGCCCAAGCCATCCTGAACAGTGTATCAAGACTCTGTCTCAAAAAAAAAAAAAAAAAAGAGGAGACACAACGGAAGTGGCCGCCGCCGGATCCGGAGCCGCCGCCGCCCCGGGGACCCCAGCACAATGCCGTCGGAGAAGACCTTCAAGCAGCGCCGCACCTTCGAACAAAGAGTAGAAGATGTCCGGCTCTTCCGAGAGCAGCATCCCACCAAAATCCCGGTGATCATAGAGCGATACAAGGGCGAGAAGCAGCTGCCAATCTTGGACAAAATCGAGTTCCTGGTCCCTGACCGTGTCACCATGAGTGAGCTCATCAAGATCTCAGGCAGTGCCTGCGGCTCAACGCCAGCCAGGCCTTCTTCTGCTGGTGAGCGTGTCCACGCCCATCTCGGAGGTGTACGGGAGCAAGAAGGACGAGGACGGCTTCCCGTGCATAGTGCACGCCTCCCAGGCGTCCCTCGGGCGGGAGCTGTCCGTGTGCGCCTGAAGCGTGCACGGAGGTCCCCGAGCCCTTGCCAAGGAGAGAAAGGGATGATACAACCGAGAAGGCGCAGCCCGCGTAGTCGTCTGGACGGTCTTGTTCCCACCTAAGAGTTTCAGGAAGTTGTTTTTGTATTTTATGAACAAAAATACAAAATGTATGGTCTATAAAACTTGAGTTCCACTGAGCACACTTAGCTTTGGAAAGCTTTATTATTTAACTTCAGCTACCTTGTTTTCAAAGTTTAGAAATTTAAAAATAA